TAACAAAAATATTTTATATTGAATATTATTTAAATTCAACTAAAATTTTGATCATTCATAGAAGAAAATTGAAGTAAGCTCAAAATTTCCAAATTTACAGAGTGAATTTTAAGACAATTTAGTGTTTTCTTATATAATAATTGTTATATTAATTAATAAAATGGAATAATTGCAGGAAGGAGATTACGTGACAATATTAAAGGATCCTATAAGAAATGAAAAAGGATACATCAAATATATAGGAGAATTAGAGGGTAGATCAGGTACATACTATGGTATTCAGTTGGAAGTAATTTAAATTAATTAAATATACAGAATAAACTTGGGTCTCATAATGGTACACTATAAGGGAAGGAATATTTTACATGTCCTGATGGTTTTGGTTTATTCATAACAGGAAATCATTTAAAAAAGACAATAATTACAAGGGATGCAAATAAGTAAAATAATGAATGATATTTCAGAAAATCTACAAAAGTAACAAAAGATGAGCCTAAATAACAAAAGTTAAAGACAAGTGCTAGTTCAGCTGCAGTTGTTTAAAAGTCATAGCCTCAATCATAAGCTTAATATGGTAGTAATTAAACTACAAAACAAACAACTCTTAAAAGAAATGAATCAAAAAAAGAAACAATAGTGAAAAAACATATTGAAGAATAAATTGAGGAAAGATTATCAACATTAGAAGCTGAAGAAATACAAGAAGTATAAAATAAAGAATACAATATTTTAGCCACAATAACTAGTTAAGCAATAATCAGAACCTGAACCTTAATTTTTAGATCAATAACAAGAATTAGAAAGTGTTAAATAATAATATCATGCATTAAAAATTGTTGCAAATGATTATAAGTTAGAAAATAAATCATTAAAAAAGAAAGTAGAATAATTAGAATAAGAATTAACAGAGTAATTAGAAGATTTAGATTCTTATGAAAAATTAATTATGGAATGTGAATAATTAAAATCTGATAAGGATATTCTAAATTTAAAATTATAGGAATTTGAAGCTTCAAATTAATAATTATAATAATAAGTAAGTTAATTGCAATTTGAAAAAGAATTAGCAGATTTAGAAATTGAAGAAGCATTAGTTACTTGTGGAGCCAATCTTTAAGTTGGTAATTAAGATTCAAGTGAAGTTGTACTTAAAAATACATAATTGCAAAAAGCATTGGCTTAATTAAAATAAGAATATGATGATTATAAACAATAAAAAATAACTGAAATTTAATAATACTAAATTAGATTAGAAGCAATTCCTTAATTAAATGAAAAAGCAATGAAATGTGTTAAATTAGAAAGTTAAGTAAAAAAGTTGACTGAAGAGAATTAAGAATTATGTTAAAGAGTTGATGAAAGTTAAGCATTATAAGAGATGATTGAGAAAATGACAGAAACATTAATGAAGAAAGATGATTTTATTGAAGAATTAAGAAATTAAATTAAAACAATTAATGAAGAAAAAAAATTAGATTAAGAATTAATCTAAACTTTATTGGATGAAAGTAATTCTTTAGAAAAATAAATAAATGATATGTAATTTAAATTAGATTAAGCTAATGCTTAGATTAATAATAATTCAAATGATTTGTAAGAAAAGGATTAATAAATACAAAGACTAAAAGTTAAAGTTGCTTAATTAAATAAATAAGTTGATTAATCAAGATTAGAAGAAGATAATACTTAAAATGAACATACAAAAAAGACATTTTTAGATGAAATAAATCTTAAGAATTAAGAATTATTATTATAATAAAGAGATACTTATAAAAAGTATATGAAAGTAGCATTAAATAATATTGAAATAAGAAATCAAATAGCATTAAAAGGAATTATTATTTATAAATCATTACCATAAGATTATTGTACAAAACTAAAGTTCAATTTATTAGAACCAATAATTTTGGTAAGAAAATTAAGTGAAAAATCAATATTAGTAGCTGATGAATTTTTAACATAATTAGAAAATTAAAGTGATAAATTTATTAAAGAGGAATTATAAGATTTAGGATTTTGGATGTTAAATGCACATAAATCTCTTTATTAATTAAGTGATTTGTGTAATATATTCACAATATATCTATAAAATTAAACAGATAGAGAATCTTTAGAAAAAGTTGCTAGAAATGGAATTCTATTAAATTAATTTAAAATTGCAGATACTTTGGTTGATATGATAATATAATGTGTACAAAATGAAAAAATCAGTACATAGTTATCTTTATCAGAATTATAATTTGCAATTTAAAGAATTAATGATGATTTAAGTAATCTTGAAATTCAAGAAGGGGCAGTAATTGAATCCTTATTAAATCAAATAATATTTAAATATAGCTATTCAATCTTTAATTTTAAAGTAATTATTAACTAATCAACAGCTACAACTTTACAAAAGATAACTGTTGATTAATTGATTGATACCTTAATATAAAGATGTAAAGAACTATCAAAATAATTACGTTATGGAAGATAATGTTGGGGAGGATATTTTAATAGAAAAAATGAGAAATTCTCAGAATTAATTAATTATTTATAACAATTATTACAATAAGATTTGAATAAGTTAGAATTAGATTAGTATTAATCATATATATCTTGTTAAGGAGAATCTGTTTCATAGCCATATAGAGATAGATGTGTATCTATTGTTCATTTATTAAATTAAATAAATCAATAATTTGAAGAGTAAAATATTAATGAAGAATTTTTATCAAATAAACCAACTTTACATTCATATGCATAAACTTCACTTTGGTCATAATGGTAAAAAGAATTAAAGTCTTAATTATCTGATATTTCTTATACTATAGAATCTGAAAAAAGATTAAAAGATGATTTACAAAAATTATAATCTGAGAAATCTCAAATATATTCTGATTGTGTAGCATTACGTAAAAATAAGGAAGCATTAGAAAATAGAGTTGTTGATTTATAAATTAAGGCTGATAGAGTTTAAGTTCTTGAAAATGAAAAACAAAGGCATTTAGAGAAAATTAAAGGGTTTAATGAAGCTTCAGAGTTGACTAGAAAGGAAATTGATAATTTAGAAAATAAATTGAAGGAAAGTGAAGAAATTAGGAAATAATTAGAGGAATAAGTTACATTATATTAATAATCATAACCAAAAAATTCTTTCTTAGATTAACTTTAAGGTAGAAATTTTAGAAAAAGTGGAACAATGTTAATTTAATCATCTAATAATTTAGATTCAGAAAGTAATTTTAATCCATTTTAAGAATTTACTATAAATAAAGGAATTGAAGCTGTATTGTTAAAAGAAAATCAATAATTAAAATTATATAAGATGAGAGAAGATATACTATCAATAACAGCATCCAACCAAAAAACATAGATAGAAGAAAAATTGTTATAAATAAGAAAATTAAAAATGAAATAATTAAAAAGTATGGTTTTGAATGAAAAGTTTGATGCTAGAAATTAAGCAGCAAAATTTTATGTTAAGTAAAGTGGAATGAAACTTACAAATACAGTCTTGATGGATACTTTGTAGGCTATTATAGCAGTTTGAAAAATATGAGTTAAAATAAAATATAATAAAAATATAAGAATATATAAAAATTCATTATATTCTTCAATTATCGGTTCTTTTTAAAATTGATCTATTCTTTTATGAATTTTATGTTGATTATTCGTTTATACAAGGGTTGAGCCATGCTACATTTGAGAGTCCTTTACATTTTAACACTTATCTTTTGATATAGGTCACTTCTGTATTGGGATGATAATTAAGTACAATAAGTAGTTCATTAAATTTAATCTTCTTAGTACTTCTCTCGAGAAACATGGGTTCCTCATCATCCACTGCTTATTTTTACAGAAGATTCAATGGTATTAGTTTTGAAATTTTGGAAGCTGGTGAAAAGGAATTCATTAAAAATACAATTTATTATAATCTCCAATTAAGATATGGATTTGAAGTTTATATTATGAATAAAATTCTTGATAATTCGCGATAATTCAAAAAATTTAACAAATTAATATCCTAATGAAGAGATATTTATAATATAAATTTTAGTATTTATTTAATAATAATTTAATTAGTATATTAGAAATGAATTAAAATAGTAAAGAATAGGAATATGAAAAAGTTCTTGATTTACTTGATCATTTTATAAAAAAATATTAAAATTTAGGTAGGAATGCAATAGAAACATCTATTGTTAGCCTTTTAAAAAATAATGTAAGTGGGTTATTTTTTGTTGGATTTTATGAAGTAATTGATGGTATAATCTGTGATTCTATATTAGAAAATTATCTTGAGGTAGGTCCATATTAAAGTACTATATTGGCAACACCAAGAATTGAAAAGGGGAAAGGATAATGTGGTTAATGTTGGGCAGAAGGAAAAATTCAGATTCAAGAAGATGTGAAGGTTTGTTAAAATTACATAGCTTGTGATAATGAGACATAAAGTGAGATTGTTATTCCAGTGATAAAGAATGGAGTAGTTTAAAGTGTGTTAGATATTGATTCTGAACAGTTGTCACGATTTGATGATATTGATTCTAAGTATTTATAAAAAATAGTTGAGTATTTAATTTGATTAAATTAATAAATAATGAAACTTTCCTTTGAGTTATTAAATTTGAGATAACTTTTATAAGCTTTGATACCTATAAGGGTTCCATTATTCTTGGGTTTAAATGCTATTAGTTTAGAATATTTAAGTTTATTATATAGTTTATTATGGTGAAGGATTTTATGGATTAATCAAGTGTATTTATGGAAGATTAGATGTTATTATGCTTTTGTTTTTTTTCTCCTTATTTTAATATTGGCCAATCGAAATTAAATCCAGAATAAAATATTATTCAGGAGGTCATAAACTAACTAAAGAGAAAATAAGAAATTATAAATTTTGTAGAGTCTAATTGAATAAATAATAGTATTCTTACAGCGAAATAGTAGATATAATAGAAGTAGAAAATAAAGAAGAAATAAATTCTCATTCAAATAAATAATATTGAATTATTTTTATGGAAGACAGGTATATTTATGATGAAACTAAGGAATCATTTATAAAAAAAGATCATATGGATGTGGAATCAATACTTTATATTAACCCATTAATTTAACTATTAATTTATTAAATGAATAATCCATTCAACCATTATCATTGTTATAAATATTTAGTATTTTCTTATGGCATTAAGATGAAAGTACTATTTATGTTTTATTTACTATGTTTATGCTTTATTGTTAATTCTGTTCGGCAATCTAAAATAGAATAACCATAATGCAAAATATAAGAGATATTTACTAAAATCCTTGTATATCAAAGAGAAGCATAAATCTAATGTTATTTTTTGTGGAAGTGAAATTATACAACTAAAAGGTAATACAAAATATCCATCTTATATCAATAATGATGAAAATTTATCTGAGTGTTTAGGTTTAGTATTAAGAACAGGATTTTCTACTGCAAAAGGAAAATTTATGAAAACTATGCTCTACAATAACTAAGATGTAAATAGAAAATAAATAGGTGAACTATTTATTGCATTATTCTTACTTATTTTTGCTTCCATTGCAAATGCTTATATCATCATTAATTGGTTCTAAGAAGACTCTCGAAACAAATATTACCTATTCATTAGATGCTTATTAATTATTACTACTGTTGTTCCATTTTTATTGCCTATGATGTTATCTATAACTGTATAACATGATAATAATAAGACATACATTTTAGAATTTTTTGATAATAATTATGTATTTGTTGAGTATGGAACCAATAATAAAACTGTATTGAATAATGTAGAATAGGAGATTAAATTATTTTAATGAATTTTGTGTATTTCATCACCCATTCTTGAAAAATTAGAAGATTAAAATTTATTATATATTATAATACAATTTAGCATTTTTGCAAGAATGTCACCAAAATAAAAATCAAAATTGTTGTTTAGTTTAAAAGATAAGGAAAAGATATATTATTTTGTGGAGATGAAATCCAAACTCTTCAAAAGCTTAGTAACATAATATATTATTTTTTTTAAGTTTATTCCTTTAGTTTTGTGTATTATTTCAGCACTTAATTATAGTGAATTTTTGAATTATTGACTTGAATTAACATTCTCTTAAAATAAAGAACTATGTATGCAATTCATAAAGTTGTGTTTATTTGTCATAATAATGAATTGGATAATTGAAAAGTAATTAAAACATTGAAATATAAAAAATGTTATGGATTTTTATGATAATCCATTTAGTGAAATATAAAGAAAATTAATAAAAAGAAAAATTCCATAATATTTTTACTACTTTTTTTCAAAAGTTAATTGATTCTTAAATATTTAATATATAAAATTTCTTTATTTCTTCATTTTTAACTTAACAGATTTCTAAGCTATTCACTTAACCTTCAATTTTTGCTGTATTAAATCAATATATAATTATTTAAATATATAATAAATTGTGGATAGAAAAATTAAAAAAAGAATTTAGTTGTTTTAATTAATGGATAATTTAGCTTAACTTGAAGCTTTAAACAGTTCCTCAGTATGTAGTTAATCCGATTAGAATACATCTAATAATACTATTAATACAGTATTTGGAAATGAATTGGTTCGATAATATGCAAGTCCAAAAGTATAGCCTTAAAGTGGAAAATCATTCAAAATTGGAGTAAAATTTATAATCATCATTATAAGATATGTGGTGGCCACTCTTCAGGAAAAGCCTTATTAACAGAAAAGTTAATGACCGAACTTTAATCATTAGGGTTTTTAGTTAGCGTGGTTAAATAAGATAACTTTGATGTTGATAGCGATGATTTCGATCATTAGTATTTATTTATTAATAAATGTAGTAAATAAAACTCTGATACTTTAAATAATGTTCCTTATGTTAACAATTAGGATTATTAAAAATTTTTGGTATAAAATATGCTAATGTTTAGTCAACTGCTATAAACACACTTTTGACTACTAGAGACAAGAATGTAATCATAATTGAAGGAACTTTAATTTTGTATGATAGACAACTTAGAGATTTACTTGATTTAAAGATATTCTTACATCATGATCAAGATGTGAGATTATCTAGAAAAAGTATTTAATTTTATTAAGTTTCAGTTTATAAGGAAGTATGTGCTAAAGGCAAAGATGTGGAAAAGGTTATTCACAATTATTTGAATAGATTAAAACCACTTTATGAATCAATAATAAAGCCTACAGAATAATATGCTGATATTATAATTCCAAAATTTGGAGGAGAATTCTCCTTAAAATCCTAAGAATATTTTGGTGCAACATAAGTGCAAGCTGGTTTTGATAAGGTTAATCCAAATATAATGAATTTACTTGTAAAGATTGCAAAGGCCAATATTTTAGGAGGTGATAAACTTGAAAAAGCTTAAACACCAACAAAATGATTTACATGTATGTTTATTATAAATATCATTTTGATATACTAAGTCATTTTTGATCTTTTAGAAAGTAGATAAAAATAATAATTACTTAAGGTATTAAATAATAAATGATAACAAATTATTATAAACAGTCCAGGCAATAATCCTATTTTTCATCCAAAAAAACAACTTGTGAATTTCATTGTCACTAAAAATACTAATCAAAATCCACTACTCCAAGCAAATCAAGGATTCAATAAAAATAATCTAATAAAAATCTAAAATTGAAATTCAGAATCCCAAAAGGAGAGTAAAAATATTATTAAGAGTGCTTTCCTGAAGAATATACAATATTCTCTATAAATAATGAAATATATTTTGAAAAGGATATAATTAAATGCAAGTAAAAGGATTCGCAACTTAATACAACTTTAGAAGGCTCATCAGATGAGGATCCAACTCAGCTTTAAGATTTTACTTTATAAGCATCATTGAATCCTATACATTATACTTAATATTAACATAGCTCTAGATTTGTTTATTCGAATAGAGAGAGAATATTCGAAGAGAGAAGAACTTCATTAAGTATTTTAATAATTAATTAGTTAGGTCCAATGTAAAGAAGTTTATATTTTAGAAACAACAGTTAGTTACAAAGTAGTAAAAGGAAAATATTTGATTGAATATTATTACATTACTAATACTACTATTAGAATTGATAAGATTTTCATAATTATTTACATAGTGTTTCAAATTATTAATATAGTTATTACAATTGTGCATTCTAACCTTATTCAAGTAAATATTTCTGAAGTATAAACATTTATTTTAATTGTTCTGCAATATTTTTATATCTATTTTAATCTTCTTTTGATTAAGGTCTTGAATAATTTGATAATTTTCTAGGAAGTCTGAATCTACTTTAAGGAGGTTTATGGATGATTGATGAATTAGTTTCTGTTTGTACTCTCTAATTAATATTAAGAGAGACAAATTGATTTTCTTTATTATGTATTATATCTATCAATTATTATGATTTTCCTCTTTTATGAGATATAGGTAGATCATTTTAATTTTGAAATTGCAATTATCTATTGGATTTTAAAATTTTATTAAAGGGTGGCAATTTAGAATCATGAGAAGATTTAGGAATATTTGTGAGAGGAAATTACTCTGATCCAAAAGTAAATGCTTAAACTTTTTCTTGTATTCTATTTAAACTCATTTGATTATATTTATTTATATATATAAAATATTGTCATTTGGTTTTGCTTTATTTAAATAATTTTTTAGCAATTCTTTTTCTAATTTTTACAATTTGAGATTTTGATTCTGAGTGACATTATGATTAACTCTTCTATTCAAATTTCAAATTTAATGGAACAGTTCGTTTGTAAAGAACTTTAAACTAACAAGTTTATTAACGATTGGATTTTATTTCTGTATCACTAAAAGAAACTGGCTACAAACCTCTCATATGAGTAGGTTTGAATTAATTATTTTAATTTTCAAATTCATCCTCTAAAAATTTTGTTTTTTGTAGACGTTATTAAAGAGATTCAACTTCTAATCTATCTTAGTAGTAGTTATCCTAATCCATTATAATTAATCAAAATTAATAAAAAAAATATTAAAAAATTACATCATTAATTAAAATGATCACGATATCTTTTAACCATTTTCTTTATTTCATTTTTGCTAGCCTACTTTGTCATTACAGGTTTTAATTTTAATTTCATATTGCATTCAGAATAAGTTGTAATCATAATTTTATTATCATCAATCTTTTTTATTATATTTCCACTTAACAATAATACTGCCCTAGTGCATTGTTTAACATTTAATTCTCTAAATTCTTAAATATAATTAATTACTAAGGCTTGAAATTATCTACATTAATAGATTTAGAAATCTCAATGCAATCATCTCCTTTTCTATCATAGTATTTAATGAATAAAAAGTCACGAGGATCCATGAACATAATCTTTTTGTATCTTAAATAGTTGATCTATAAATTCATTTCATCAAAATGTTTCTCAAATGCATCAATACTATTATCCATTTACTTTTGTAATTGTAAATCCTTCATGAATTCTAAGTAAGAATCAATTGATGTGTTCAAAGTATATGTGTATTTCATGATACCGATTTGATATTTTTCAGGAGTCTCAACATATTTAATCCAAAAATTAAAGTCCTACTCTTCCTCTAATAATTCAAATCCTTCCATTTTATCAATTACAGAAGTTAAAGCTGCAATTCCTCTTTCTCCTATTTCCTTCATTTATTCAGTTTATTAAAATGAGATATGGGGAATATCATCAATAAATTATCGAATCGTCTCCTCATCTATTATTTATTCACAATCCTAAAAATTCGCTTTATTTTCAAAGTCCTCTATTTTATTTTCAGGATTCTAGATGAAAGAGTCCTCATGAGCTCCTAAATAAAATTTCTACCGATTTTTACTTAATTCAGCATTCATATTGTTTTCAATGTCTCTGTTTACACTCTCCATCTAATATCCCTATTCTACATTTTCTACTCTTGTGTACTTGAAGATATTTAAACAACTAATGAATAATTGCCTAATACATGAATAAATTCTAAACATTGTAAAAAATTAATGAATTACATAGTCATACTGTATTAAAAAAAATGAACATCATTTACTATTTAATGAAATCACCATTTTACATGAACAAAGCTTAGTTTATGAATTCATTTAACTTAATTAATTCTATTTAGTAAAAAGAGGAAATATTGTTAATTGGATCAAAAAATGGATTCATTATTGGTAATAGGAAATTCAATATAAAGCAATCTGAAATTCTCAAATTAAATTACATTTTCTTATTTTTAATCTATCCCCTTAAAGGAGCAGAATATTTCATAAAATAAGAATTTTAATACTATAACAGAAACAAATACTCAATTATTTACAAATAAATTATGATCAATTCAATAATTTTCTTTATTAGAAATGATGAATTATTTAATAGATATTTGTCGATTCATTTTAATCTAATTGTAACTATTATTATAAGAAACTTATTTAAAAAATTGCCAAATTACTTTGCTTCTATTAAATTAACTTTATATTATCCATCTTTTCAAATTAATTATTAGATCTGAATTATTTAGAAATGCTAAATCTGAGAATTTATATGTATAAGTAGATTTATTAAAAAAGTCAGTATAAAATTAATAAATTACAAAAAAATATTATGACAAGTTTAATATTAAATTCATTTAAAGTTAGGTGTGATTTTTTTAATTAACTATACAATTCCTTTTATTTTTTAAGTTTTTGGGCTGATTTAATTTAATATTGATTCTAAATTATTTTTAATATTTTCAGCTAATCTTATTTCAATTTTATTGATTAAATCATATTCTATTTTAAATCCTGATTAAATAAGTACTTTAGCAAATT